TAATTATCATCAGCCGTTTTCAAGAAAAACGCTTTTCCTTCACAATATAACGATCAACCTGTATCTTATTTTTTAATAATAATTAATTATACATTTACCTATTTCTTAAATTTATTTTTTGGGCAATTTAACCGATTTAAATTGAAATTTTTGTTTCAGAGAAGAAAAAGGGTAGTTTTGAAAAAACTGTTTTTAAGTGATTACAGACTGTACAAAAATTAATTAGAAATTTGTCTCAAAAAACGGTATGAATCGGGGTCGAAATCTGATTTGGGTCATAGGACGGAAATTGTGCTGAAAACAATTGGATTTTGTTTTCTTCAATGTCCGGAAGGTTTTCCGAAAAAAAACAAAAAAAAAATTCGATTTTTTTGAAAATTTTTCGATAAAAATTTTTTTTCTTCATCAATTTAAACGTTATTTGCGGTAAAAATGTGAGAAATCCCCAAAAAATATTTTATTTCCATTTTAATCATGATTATTAAGTGTTTAGGCTCAAAAAACGTGACCCTTTAATTTTTTTGAAAAATTTGACTGTTTGAAACAAAGAAACGGTTCGTTAGATCGAGATGAAACTTCACAAGGTTCTTTCTTCTGGGTATATCGAACTGTAAAAGTCATGCTTAACATTAGTCATTTCGTGAATATTTCTAATTTAGCCGTCAATTTTCTAAAAAAACGTAAATTATCCTTTTTTCCTGTTTTTTAAAATTCGTGTAAAAGATGAAGAAAAAAATTTCCAAAAAGTTGCGGCAGCATGTTATAAGAAATTTATTCCAGTTTTCGAAACTGCCCTTCAATTCTCTGTACGGACATTTGTCGCCGATATATCGATGATTAAAGACAAAAGGATCCTTTTCCATTAAAAGTCCGATATTTAAAAATGGTCGTATCGAAATTTAAAAAAAAAGGAAATTGAAGCTGATTAAATAAACTATCTGGTCCATGCAACGGCTTAGCTGAAAAAAAAATTTATAGCCCGTGAACTCAATTTGTAAATTTTTTTATAGCGCTATTTCTTATAATTGCATGATAACCGTGCTTCTAAAAAATTTCGACCGAAAGATCTAAAAACTAGAAACTTCAAAATGTCTTTTTTAATTCCCGATACGACCATATTTCACCTAAATACAGTCTGTCAAAAATCACGAAAAAATTTCGGAAATTCTTTTGACCCCTTAATTTTTTGCATTAGTGTATAAATGTTCTCATTTTTCTCAAAATTTTGAAAAGTTTTTCGATATATCTTCATTTCCAAAAAAATATTAAATGATATGTATACAGGAAAAACATTGATTCAACCAAGTCTGTTACTGATTTTATCTGCGTTGCCGTGGAAAATATTTATATTCATTATTTACATAAATGATTTGTCTCTATAAAGCCGTATTGCTAACGACTTTTCCCGAGCTTCCTCAAAAATCAGAATCAAAGGTCCTTGTGGAGAATTTATTCAAGTTTTCAAAACTGCCCTTGGATTTATTGTACAATAACTTCTTGCAGAGATATCGATGATCAGAGACAAACGAGTTATTTTTCATTTAACCATCGATTTCATGGCAACCAATGGCCGCATCATAAAAAAAAATTTTGGAAATTTTTTTCTCGGGGCATTTCTTTTGACTGCTCGATAACCGTAGCTCGAAAAAGTTTTTTGTCAAAAAATCTTGAAACTAGAAACTTAAAGGTTCAAATCTCGATACAACCATTTTTCGCTGAGGTAATGCCTTTCGAGAATCATTAAAAAATTCATGAACATTTTTGTTCCTTTAATTTTTTCCAGTAGTGTGTTTGTACCGAAAATGATTTTCACTGCATTTAAGTACACATGGTTTTAACCACAATTGAAATGTATCTTCAAACTTAAGATTCACCCTCCCTAGACAATAATAACTTTAAAATGTTTTAATTATAATGATGATAAACACGTGCGGAACGCGAGAATGCCTTTTCGTTACTTAAAATAATTTATTTGGAACGGGGAAATTATCTCCCCCAAATAGTTCCGCTAATAAACCAGAGAGCAATATACTCCCAAGATTAACAGTTATGTTTAGTGTATTCAAACAGCGGAATAAATCACGGTCCACCCTCTAACCCCGAAGTTACGTTTTGTAAAGATGAAATATCACTTTCGGGGGAAATTCATTAGTAGTGAGTAGCGGCCACCATTAAAGTTTATAGTTGAAATTAATTTATCTTTCGAATGCAAATAAAACTGTAGAGACTGCGAAGGAAAGCCGGCTCAGTTCAATATTAATACTCTGTAAGTTTGAAACCTGAACGTACAGCAAGAAGCATATTTAATGCTCGAAGTTCTGCAACTCGAAATACCTTTATTTGATATTAATTAAATTTAATAGTACTCATGTAGCTTACTTTTTCCGTGATTCAATGGGCGAAAAGAACGTAAAAAACTTGAAACTTTTTAATGCATCTTAAATTAGAAAAATAACAATAATAATGACAAATATCCAACTTCATTGATATACTAGAAAAAAAAGTACGAAGAAAAAGATTTCAATAACCACCACCTTACAAATGAGCGAAAGGTATGTTAATATACAGGGTGTTGCTGAAATACGTGCGTCCCTTGAAAATGGTGATAGAGGACACGGAAATAAGCAACTTTTATTACGCAAGTGATGGTCTAAAACATTGTTTTAAATTAAAAAAAAAATCACGTCAAGGTTTAAACAAATTTAAAGCCGTCCCCATCCAGCTGTATCGTTGATGTCGAAGCTACCACGCGCCGCCGCCGGCGCCGTGCCAAACCGCTGGTGGCAATTTTGACGATTTAAATTTTGTCTTCTAAAATGCTGAAATTTATTCAAATCTGGTTTAAAAGTAACACAAAAATTAAACGAATAAACGAATTACTTACCAATAGGCGATAAGCTCTACAAAAATTGTTCAAAGTTGTTTCCATGCTTCCAAACGACGGTCAAAATTCTATCACGAAAAACACCACACCACACATTCACTGAAAACCGTTGTGAAAACTCTCTTTGAGTCGCCAGACTATTTCCATTACAGAAACCATACATAAAATGCATATTGGCATATTCACGGTTAGTAAAAACATAATGGTTCATGGTTGTAAAAAAATCGAATGAAATGCAAAGTCAAGCACAAAGATCACAATTAAGAAAATAAAGAAACGAAAGTGAGTGAATCATTAGTATCATTACAATGAAACTGTCACCATGCAGATGTCTACTATGTGAAAATGTTAAAAACATGTTACTGCTCTGAGCACATTATTTAGAAACTAATTATTTCTGGCTAAACTACGCGGAATTCGAAAAACAAAATTTTTTCTTCAAAAAAGTCTGATTCATTAAAAAAATAATGTTATTTGCTTGATAATAATTCAAAGGAATAAAAAAAATTCGAAAAATTTCAGGTAAGGATAGTTAGAGAACTATCCTTATTTATAACCGATTTTAATGAAACTTATAGTTAAGGTACCATATCACTGGCCGAGAAATAATCAAATTTCTAGCGTTTTTAGGTACTGAAATCTTGAAAAGTAAAACGTGTAGAACAAAAGTAAGCTCAAAAATAAAATCCTTGATGTTCTGTTTATTCATTGTTACTATTTAAATTTACTCAAATAAAATAATAACTAAAAAAAAGCGTTTGTAAAACATGCGTTTGCTGTTATCCTAACCCCACATTTTAAGAAATATTTTCACGTACTTATAAATAAAAGTAAACAAATTTATAGGTAGGACTAAGCAAGTAAATGTTATAAGAATATTTACATGTGGAGTTGTATATTAAAAAGTTAGTATTTTCATAGATTTCAGTACCTAAAGCCTTGATGGTTTGATCATCTTTTGCACCTGTTTATTCGTTTTACTGCGGCGTCTTTGAAAATACCCAGATGGCAGGACATAACATTCCTATTATTTGATAAGCTTTAGATTATTCAGTTATTAAATGCTTGAAATTATTTATCTTTGTGGAAAACACTATTTAAAGAATATGGCGCCCTTAAAGACCTTCATGGTATGATTATTACCTACATTTCATTTCATTATCTTAATCAGAAAGGAAGTTATTTTAAAAAATATCCTAATGATAAGACCCCTTTGGAGGGCCATATCTCAGTAACGGTGCTCCGGAGGATCAATGTTTATAGGAACTTTTTTTACTAGTTTTGGCTATACTTTCACCTCCTGAAATTTCGTACAAACTTTTCCAAACACCCTGTATATTATGTTGCTGATTTATGTCACATTTGACATGCAGAGGCATATATTTATTAGAAATATATGAACACTTCCTCGCTTTTACTAACAAATAGATATTAGAATTTTCTGCGCATAGTCATAATAATTATACAAGAATTTAGTTAAAACTATGTCAATTAGCCACATTCTAGAATTTAAAAAAATATATACTTGTTTTCCTGTGGTTTTAGAGAGAGTGAATGGCATGTTTAGATTATGATTTATGAGTTAATTTTCGTAAACCCCTTGTAACGTACATCAACTAAAAAAGATATGCAGCTCATGAAACCGATGCAACAGTAACAGTGGAGATTTCTAGAGAGGACCAATAATTCGGCTGCATTTCTTTGATGACTTTGTAAAGGGTGATGGTTGGCTGTATTTACAGTTATTATAATGGTATCAAATATTGGTTGAAAATCGAGAACTTCAAAATTGCAAAATAAGGAAATGAATAAGCTAATTATTATTCTTATAGGAAAATGGGCTTAATTTGCTTATTTAATACTGTTCCATTATTAATTTTATAGAATATATTCATATTTAAATACCCCGGTTTTTGGGCTGAATTTCAAGAAAATAATTTAAAGCAACAAAATCTAATTGGCAGATAATCCATTCGAAGTTATAGTTAACTTTCTTTGGGGAAATTTTGAAAAATATAAACATCGCTCTTTCCCTTAAATACTGTGGAAAAGAATAATCGTCACAAAAAAAAAATCGGCGATTTGTCATAAGTACTTATTAAAAACAAAAACTTACCTCATTTTCATCTGAAGGATCGTCCTTTACCTCTGGATCTTCGAATTCTCTGATGGGGGAGTAACTCTTCACCGTCACCACGATACTTTCCTCGTCCGTCAGCAAATGGCCACACTGAGATGAAACCGATTTAAATAGTTCAGTGTCCGAATTTCCGACGATTTTCCTAATTTTGCACTTAGGTTCGTCGAGAGATTCATCAGAACTTTTTATTAGTTCCGGGTTAGGTAGTAAATCACGTTGGGATGTTTCCTCGGACATCTTCCTTAAGTTACGACCTACTAGGTTATATTTAATCCCGTGTTTAATAGAGAAGGAACCTTGAATGTAGCGTGAATATCTAAAGACCTGAAAAGAAGGTAGAGATATTTAGTAATTAAAAAAAAAGTAGATGTACTTAAGTACTTCGAAATAAAAAATAATTGTTCAGGACTAGAAATGAATAATTGTAGTGCTTAGTTACTTTTTAGTAGAATGTTAATCTAATTTCACGGAAACAAGCTATCATTCAATTTAATTTTTTCCTAAAAACAGAAAGCGTAATTTGATATAAAAAAACACTAACAAAATATTCTATTACTGAAACCTACATCTATTGATAAAATTATGTTATTGACGCCCTGTATACATAAAATTCAAGAAAAATTAAATACCTTCTACAAATTATTTTATTTAATTGGATGCCACATTAAAAAAAAAAATGCCCAAATAACTTATTACACCAAAAGGGTCAATTTTGTCATTTTGCCAGACGTCACACATGTAGTCACGTGCTCTACAACGTAAAACTTGAAAAATTCGTCGATGTCTAAAATATATTATACATTAAATATTTATTTTACTTTTAATATTCTTATAAAAATTAAAAACACTATGACGTTACATCCCTCCCCTCTTCTGGCTACCGCTCAGCCGCGCGGAACACGCTGTTTAACGAACGTTTACTTGGTCACTTCTTGTTCGAATCTATTCAAAAAAAAATCAGCGTATAAAGGAAGTTTTCTAATTTACAACGAGACTAAGTTTATTACAAAATATTAAACAAAACAGCCAAAATACCCTTTAAAGAAAAAAAATATATCTCGGCTTCTATTGGTCGGATCAAGAAGATTTTCTTTCTTAATTCATGTTTTTTTAACCACTATTTGATGCAATTGGTTTAAGATCTGTATATTAAAAAATTGCCGAGATAAGGACCCTAGTTACCGTCTTTTTTTTTTTGGTTTTTTGATAACTTTTTTATTTTGCAACTTAAAAATCTGAAATTTACATAGACGCGAGATAATGTAATTACCTTTCGATCCTTTTTTACCGAATTTCGATATCTTGACTTGTGCAGGAGATATACACGCTCGCGTTTTCGACTTTATTTATTATTATTATATATTATTTTTATTTGCAATAGGCCGCCATTTTGAAATTGGGAGACCGATTGCGGATATTTGTTGGGCACCCCAACAGTTATCTTTTCCTGTAGTTTCATCCAATTTCAGTCAAATTCGTCGTTTTTATTTAATGCTGAAAATTTTGCACATTTTTTTATTTTCACAGCTAATTTTGCAATGTAAAAAAATTTTGCAAGCTTTCGCAAAAGCCTACCCTTGTAACAAATTTCCTCAGGAACAAAATCTATAAGTATACCTCATGTCGATTAGAGGCTTATTTTCGGAGATATAAGCGAAAAACTGAAAACAATTATTTTATTTCTTTTGTTATAAACAATATGACGCTCGACCTCTACAAATACAAAAATTTAGGCTTTATACTGTGTATTTTTTACTTAATTTTAAGCCCATAAAATTCGAGGCAGGCTCGATTTTTGAAAAAAAACCTAATTCGACCGGACTAAGTACTGACGAAATTAGATTTGATTACATATTTGCAAAGTTGTCTCCGGTTTAGCTAAATCCATAGAAATACCATAGAAGCAGGCACAGATCCAAGAGGGAGGGCGTTGGCGACCCGCCTCCCCCCATATGGTTAAAAAAAAATCAATGATCAAACAGAATAAATTAACAAAAAAAATGTTTCTGTTTAAAAACGTCTTTCTTGACTGCATAGCCTTTTTTTAGTAAAATGAATGAAGATTAAAAATTGTATCTCCGAGTTTTCGTGATTGCATAACTTTTTTTTGACATCAACTATACAACACACGTAAATCGCACAAATCCAGTTTATTTTAGTAAATATAATTCCTAAAATTTCTTATTTTAAATTTATCGGGAAAATTTGTAACCAAAAGGGAAATTTCACCATTTAGCCTGTTAGCCACATTGTCTACTGTTACTGTTACTGTTCAAATGCAGTAGAAACTTTATAAGTACCTACTTCAAAGTAAATAATCGGGCATAAAAAGTACCTACTACTTATAGTTAGATATAAGCAAATTCCTTATAAAAATGTAATTTCTCAAAACAAAATATTAACAAAGAAAAAATGAGTCAAGTAGGTAGTCGTATGTCGCCAAAATAATAATAGACTCTAAAATTCAGAGGCCTCTTGAAGGTCCCTCACGCTGATTTATTTGTAGTCGGCATTTTCACAGTAATTGCAAAATACTTACCTTTCAAATATTTTATTTTAAATGTAAAAAAATTATAAAAATAAAACAATTGTAGTTTTGGTATAAATTACAATTACCTTCATGTGCTTATTCTTGCACAATATTTACTTTTATTTGATAAAGGATAACGGCTCACATATACGCAGACACATAATAATAGTAGTAGAAGTTAGTAACAAACTTTCAAATAACAGATGGAAAAACAGATTTGTTATTGGTTATATTCACATAAATTCATAATTTTAGCCCAATGCGAAAATCAAAATCAGGATTGTATAACTGTGATGTAATTAAAAAAAACGATATTTTTTTGTTAACAAACATAACCACAAAAAAATACAAGAAAATTAATTTGTAATTCATCAGACAAATATGTATTAAAAATAGTATTGTCTCATTAATAACAAGCACTTTTAAATATAGTGAAATTTTAAAAATAGTTATTACCTACCTACTTTTTATTTTAAAACGCGCATTTAAATTGAAAACAAATGAGTAAAAGTAAATGAGGTTATGTGGAAAAGCTATATTATCTATTTTACTTATAACGAAAAAAACCACACAAATCATTAGAGGTGGAAACGTTCAATGCGTCAAACAAGGAGGCATGCAATTAATGTATTAAAACCTTAAATTTAAATAACTTTACCGCTTTAGAAAAAAGCATCACCATCACCCGTCAAAACGAAAACACACGTGTTATTGACCAGAAGCAAATGCTACACATCCAGCCATCTATGATCAAGATATTCGAACAATGCAATAGGTACATAATGGGAACAGATGTTAATATTATGTGTCTAAAATCATTTAAAATTAAACTGAAATTTAAATAAATATTATTCGATTCATGTCAGACTATAATACAACGGCTTTATTTAAAGACAATTATTTAACAATGATATAGAATAGTTTTCTATCTGATTTATTCACTTTGGGACTAGTTGACGGTAATATCCATAGATGGCAGTTTCAATACATATTTTGAAATAGTACTTTTTTTAATTAACTAAAATTATTAATTCTCTGAATTTCTTGAAATACTATGAAGATATAAGAAGTTTGTTATAAAAAAAAGAATGCATCGTGATCGTGACAATTTAAAATATATACTTTTTTCATTTACAAACTTTAGAATCACTGGAAGTAGGTATCTCATTTAAAAATTTCCAGCTGACGAAGACTTGTACAGGCTGTTTTTTTAAAGTCTATTATATCATCAGGAGGTTGTTTTGGGTTAAAACTTAAAAGATTTAATGAACCAAAAAGGCCGCTATTTTTTTGAAATGCAGGATGTTGATATTTAAAAATATATCATTTAAGCCTCGATTTAATCAAATATTTCTGATGTAAATAGATCGGTACCTATACAGATTTGTCAACTAGTAGCAGAGAAACTGGATTCTACTTCCATTAACAACTTTAGAAATTCAAAACCACTGATTTTGAAACTGGATTGGTTGATATAATTTCTAATGTTACTTCTAAGAAATAGGGTCTTTTCCTCTTTATTAGAAAAATGGGCAATTTTTGCAACATTATTTTAAGTTTCGAATAAGCCTAAAGGCTCCAGTACACGTTTGGCCAACTAGTTGGGCCAATGAGTTGGGCCAACGTGTACAAGACCGCTTGGCGTAACTTGATCGTTGGCGGACAGCGTTGGCTGGCCAGCCGAATGTTGTCGGTTTTTCGTCCACATATCAAAAGATCTTGGCGCACTCCGCCAACAGCATTCACACGTTGGCCTCTTCTTCAGTTCGTAGTTGCCTTTTAAGCATAAAGGATAGTGTTGTGGCGTAATAATTGTACTTACGAGCTACGACTACAGTATGGAATAGTGATAAAGTTTTGCAGTTTATAGATTTGTACCAAAATGAACCAATAATCTACATCCATGCTCGTTAAATGGCCAGTGCAGAATGGGCAATGCCAACGTGTAAACAGTCTCCTCATTTTTGGTCCAACTCATTGGCCCAACTAGTTGGCCAAACATGTACAGGAGCCCTAACACAAGGTTGAATAAAATTAAATTAGCTTTAAATTTGTTTGGCAATATAATATAAATTTAAATACAGCATAACCTTTTTGACATATAGGTACTGGTTTCAAACTTACTACCTTACTAGCCAGAAGAATTAAATGCATTTAGGTATATAATTTTGAACATATTGATAACTCTTTCTTGCCTTTAATTTATAGATTTAATATAGATCTAAATGAAACACCTTCAGAGAAAACCAGTGTCTTCTAGATCCTTGGTTTTTTGGTCTATATATAGAACAATCCAAAGAACAATACCTAAAGTTAGGACATTGGCTTCGAAAGCAAGCAAAACAAAAATCAATCCTTGTATCCTACAACAAAAAGGAGCAGTCATAGGATGACGGTATCTTCGTATTAGTTCGATTTAATAATAATAACTACAATGCAATATGAACAGTTTTAACTTGATTTAATCTGCATAATAAAAACTAAAATAACAACACAATGTACTAAGAAATTAAACACAATACTCATTAAAATATGAAGTATAAAAACAACTTGCATAAATTAAAAGCATATTTAAAGAACTTGCAAAAAAGAACATTCTATTTATTAATTTTCAATTAGCACATTTTGAAAAAAAAAAAGTGTTTATTAGGGTACTGAGGAATATGTGATGAGTTAACTAATAAAATCATATATTTTAAAATAATTCCATAAAAAATACAATAAAATAGCAAATATTTACGTAAAAACAATATCGTAAAACAGATCTTCCCTGAACACTTGGACGGTCTAAAAATATAACACGAAGCTCGTACATAACAAAAAAATAAGCTTACAATAATTAAAACTAACATGATTAACTTGTATTTCTAGAAATCTAAATTGTATCTTATTAGGCAGCCAGAGTGTTAAAATATGCCTGACTACCACTACTGTCATAGTACGGTCGACTCTTTTACTTGCACTTTGCAATAATATATACATCTTAGAAGTAACATATCTCCTACAAATAAGGCTACTAAAGTAATACTATCGTGAGAATTTTTCGATGTTAAATATATTTTGTACCATATACATCCGAGATACTCTATTTAGATATCCTCTCAGCGTTTTAGTATAAAATTAATAGTGTAAAATATAAATTCTTTATTGCGTTAAATCTAGCATAAAGATGGCAGTATTCAACAAAATATTTAACAAGAGTGTATTGGTTTTGGACAAATATTATCTTTAATTTAAACATTAAGTAATGTTTATAACACCACAGGCATTTTTCAAAACTTACCGTTAGATGCACTGGTAGAAATCAGTTTTGTACCAACACGTGATCAAAATAATGTATTTATGATTTAACCAGGTAATTTAGTTTCGTAAACAGCAAAACACCTGATCTACCATGTTTAAACATCGATTTTTGAAATCTGACAGATGGCGCTTCTTTTAACCTAAAAATTATTACTGGTGGAAGTTGATTATGCAAGTTAGTTTTCTGTGTTTAGAAAATAATGAAGTCTTTGTTATATTAAAGGGCAAAACTTTATTCTTAACAAAAATATATTATAGTTAAAAAATTTCAAGATCTGTAAAAGTTCAGTTTTGAATTACGACAAATTTAATTTGAGCCCTAAAATGCGCAAATCAAAAAGACAGTGGACTTGGCTGATGTAGAATGAGATAGATAGCGATCTTCACTATTAGAAAGCTCTTAAGGAAATGTACTCCGTTCCACACTCCAGTACTTTGCCACTGTGCATCCGACCATATTCCGTCACCAACCGAATTCTGTCCTGATTTCATAAAAAATCGTAGTTTTGAAAAATGCCTATTGTCAGAAAATGATACAATTATTTTAAATTAGAATTTGATGGTTCCAACAATCGGAAAAAATATTTGCAATAAGTCCAAGACAACAATTTTATATAAATTAGTAAAAAGGAAACAATAAATCACTTTAACATGCACTGTAACCTGCCACTCTAAATTAAGTTGGTTATTCATTTAATGCAGTTCAGAATACTGTTTAATAATTCAAATCATGTAAAATGTATCATTATAAGAAATTTAGATTTGAACAAATTTTTCACAATATCCAACACAGCAATTTAATAACAGGCAATTGAAAATTTTATGGATAAGTTAAATTTCAAAATACACTTTGCAGCAGCAAAATGATGACATCACAGCATTAAGAAGGCGACTTACTGCTTTACAAATTATAATGTAAAGTTTCCAGTAAAAAAAATTTGCTACCGGTTCTTATACTATACCGAGTGACTGTTTTTCCATGGGGAATAAATAATCAGCAGGTTTGAAGCATATTTCTCACTTCTTTATGTATATATTTTCCATTAACTCTTTCAACTTTTTGAAGTTATCGATGAAAATTTAATTTAACTACAAATTTAATTTGGAATAATAATTGGATATTTTATTTTTTAAAGACTGCAAAAATCTGTCTTATCCTCTTCAATTAAAAAAATAAAATGGAGATCAGTTTTTCACTAATAAGTTTAATACAAAAAAATAAGTCACGTCTCTTCAACATGTTATTTATCATCGAACTCCACAACTTCGCATTAATTTAACCAATCTCCCTTAAAATAACAGAGGTCCCCAGGATGTGACTAGAAAAACAAGCACACGGTATATAATTTATACACCTACATTCACAATGCTTTTGCAGCATTAGTAAAGAAAGCAATAGGTCTCTCTAAACTTATTCCAATAGTTTTCTACCAAGTAATAACAGGTTTTCTTCCTACTTGTTTGTTAAATTCCATTTTGTAAGAGAAACAGTACAAGCAGCAATATAGTTATTTACAAAAAAACGGCTCATACCGTGAAATTATTATTAGAGCCGAGAACCACTTTGACAATAATTATTTGACAAACTACAAGATTTGCCTTACAAGCTTATAGCCATAACAGATTATTTCAATATTACCTAAACCTAAATTAAGTATTCTATAAGTAACTAAAATAACTGAAAAAGTATGAAATACGAATTACATTTTAGATATAGATATTAGTCTCGTTTTCAATTATATTAAATTATTAACATTCACTCTTTATTAGTTTCATTAATAATTCAAATATATTTTGGAATTGATCGGTAAACGTAATGTTAGTAATTTAAAAAAGTGATTTATGGCAGTAACAAAATTAATAAATCCAGTTAACTGGAACCCACTGATGTTCTGATGTCAGAGCTTCCAAGGCCTCCACAATTTGACGGAAAGTTGTATCAAAATCGTTGTTGGTAATAACTGTGTCAATATATTTGTCATAACTTCTTTGCATACTGGCACTATCCTCTAAAGCTCTCTTCAAGTCTTCTTCCTTCAAACATAATTTTCTTTTAACAACTAAATGTATATAATAGAAGCTCATCTCGACGCTTTAGTACGAAAACATGCCATCTCAAATTTCAGTTGGAAAACATGCTATCTCAAATTAAGTTGGAAAACATGCTAACTCAGATCTTTAAGTAAAAATATGCTATCTCAGTGTGACTAGAAATTTAAGTTGGCACATTAAATGATTGAAACCGTGCATTTATAATAAACTTATATAATATATTTTAAAAAAAGTAAGGAATGTTTATGTTCAGTTACACTGTTTATTTTTTTTCAACATTTTTCAATTAATTTTGTTGAAGTTACTGTTATAAACGAAAAAATTTTTCATTAAAAAAATAGAATAGTATGCAGTATGCTGCAACACGTACATTACTCGGTTTTTTGAAATAACAAATTATAAAAAGAATTGTGTATACCTTAATATATAAAAATGTTTGTTAATACTAAAAATTATTGGATTTTTTTCATACATGTTTGCTTTGATATAAAAATTAATAGCGCACTCTTACCTGAGTTATAGTCACTACTCTTACTTTTGTTAATAGAGTTAACATAATAACCAGAATATAAATATAATGTATAAAGTTGAATGATATGTATACATATATCGATGCGACGGGTGCATATGATTATCATCAGCAGATGTTTATCACATGTTTATCATCAGCAGATCATAAAGTACCGGTAATAAAAGTGTCACATACCTGCATTTCATTTCCAAAATCTATGCAAGGACTCAGCTACCTTGTTTTTATTGAGGTTCAGTAAGAACGAGTCAGACCCGGAGTTTGGGGCCTAGCATGGTCCACTATATATTTTTTTTATTACAGTTTCCTTAGGCATACAAAATTATTTTCAGAATAAATTGTGCATCCCAGATTTTGTGACAAAGAAAAATAAGTGTATCAAGAGTAGCGACTATAAAAAATCAAATAAGAATACGCTATTAATTTTGATATCAAAGCAAACTTATGTGAAAAAAATCGAATAATTTTTAGTAATAACAAACATTTTTATATATTGAGGTATACACTATATTTTTTATAATTTGTTATTTCAAAGAACGTTGAGTAATGTACGTGTTGCAGCATACTGCATATTATTCTATTTTTTTAATTAACAATTTTGTAGTTTATATAAACATTCCCTACTTTTTTTAAAATATATTATATAAGTTTATTATAAATGCACGGTTTCAATCATTCAATGTGCCAACTTAAATTTCTAGTCACACTAAGATAGCATGGTTTTACCTAAAGATCTGAGTTAGCATGTTTTCCAAGCTTAATTTGAGATAGCATGTTTTCCAATTGAAATTTGAGATAGCATGTTTTCCAACTGAAATCTGAGATAGCAGGTTTTCGTACTAAAGCGTAACACCCAAGTGTTACACTAATGTAAGAGGAGATATCCATACATACCTCATATAGAGACGCCAATGATTCTAATGTTCGGGCTCTTCTGGAACTGTAGCGAATTGAACTTTGGCGGTCAAACTATCATGCAAATTAAAAAATAAAAATTATCCATACCATTCCAATAAAAAAAATAGTTGTTTAAATAAATAGACTTACACACTAATCAAGAAAAACTGGTACCTATATTAGTATTGGGTTGGGAAATAAGTAATATTGGATTTTTGTGAAGGAGTTGATTCAATGGCTCTTTATCAAACTCAACAGAGCGTCCGAACGATTCATGTCTCTAAGGTTGCTTCTTTAAAACGAAACCATCAACAAGTCGTTCGTTAATTTGTAACATTATCACTCTATATGGCACAAATTTCCGGAAGCAGCTTGAGTGGCTTTAACATTTTCCCCATCTCGATTAAAAACAAAAAGAAGCAAGTGCAGAAAATGATCAATTTTCAAACGAATGAAAATTCACAAAAATTAAATCTAACGAAGCAACCAAAAGCAGTCTGTTATAGCACTAAGTCCTCTTTCGAATGGCATGTGTCAATTAGACAATGTGTTTAATTTTCATGTGAACTTTTTAATTTGAAGAAAAACGGACATTACTGATTCCCCAGCCCATTAAAATATCTTGAGTAAAAACTATAATCAAATCAAATAAAATAGTAGCTACAGTCATCCAAATATTACTCATCATTTCCAGCTTATTTTCTGTTCCCTGTACAAAAGCAACTATTATACACTTGTTTATGAGTAATGCATTTTTTACTAAAATACCAATTCTACAGTTTGAAATAGAAATGTTTATCAAAGATCATCTGACATGCAATTAACTACATATTATACCAAGGACAAAGATATAAAAAGTACAAAATAAAAGAAAAATTAATGAAACTTTCAAAATATGAAAATTTGACTAAATTAGATAACTATTAAATTATTTTTTTCTTAAATTTTGAAATGGTTCGATAAATTGTAGAATAATTTTCCAATTATTTTTTTTATTTAAACCTTCCAACTGCAAAATTAAAATATAATGAGTAATCAATTTTTTACTATAATGCTAAAACCGAAAGTAAACCAGCTATCGGTCAATTTAGATTTTGTTAGATTACTTAAAAATAATTTAATCTCAACAAAAAAAGGAATAATTTGAAAAACAAAAAGCTATTATTCATATCACATCAGGCATGTCACAATCCAAGGGTATGTATATAAGAAAATACATCAGAAGTGCTAAGATTCGAACTTTTTCATTATCTTACCGTTAAATTTCTGCTGGAATATCTCAGATTTGAATTACTTCTTCCCACATCGTACAAATTCTTCAGTTGCTCCATCCCTGGTGCAGCAATGAAGATAACATAGGGTAAAAATTCTGAACTGTTGTGGAGTATTTTCAGGGACATTGGACTGCAATCTAATATGCACATTTTCCCCTAAAACCATTAATTATTGAAGAATAAACATATTAACATAATTTTTCCATGTTCCATGGATCACTTACTTGTTTTATTACTTCCCTAATGGAATCCAAATGAGTACCATATAAGTTACCATTATATTCTCCATACTCTAAAAATTTGTGATGTTTAATGTCTTCTTCCATTGATTCCCTATCTGTAAACCAATAATTTTTGCCATCTTCTTCCAAAACCCTTTGAGGTCTTGTTGTGTCTACAAGAAAACAAATACATAAATGTTAAAGTTTTTAGCCATTAAAAGCTACTTACATGGAACAACCCCACCAAATTTTTCCGGATCACTGTTAATTAATCTGTTCTTCAGAGTTCTTCTACCTACACCTTGAGTTCCAATTAAAACTAAGGTTTTTCTCTTAAATGGAGGCATCCTAGTGACTTCCTCATAGAGTAATAACTCAGCCTTATCGAAATCACAGCTGCTCTTCGACTGGTAAATTATTTTTTTCTTCTTTTTTGATATTCGCGCACCACATATACTTATTTTATGTACAAAGTCAGCTTCTGGAGCCACAAACGCTTTTCTTCTTTCTTCAAGTTCTAGTGATGGGATCAGCCCTGTTGTTCCATCACCCCCCACTTTCTTAGCTTGCCACCAGTTAGGGTCTCTTTGGTCAACAATTTGTAATATGTCTCCCCGATCAAAGGGCAATCCTATTTCCTTGCATGGTAAGAGAGTGTCTTCTTGGGGAACATATTCATAGAGTGCCCTCATGTAGCACTAAGAAAATCAGTCATAGGTAATTTGGATATAGTCAAATATTAATTATTGATACTCACCGTTAATTTTTTTGTCACACCATTTGTACCATTGGCAACAACTAGAGATGAATGTGTTTCTGCAGATTGTGCATTGCCTACTTTAAGGGTCACATGATCTTTTGTTTTGGCAATTTCTGTTTGGAGATCTTCTGGAGTTGAAACGGGTGCACCATTTACCTCTAATATTGCATCTCCCACATGAAGAAGGCCCTGCTTTTCAATCATACCACCTTCTAATATCCTGGCTATTACTAGATTCTTATTGTCATCAACTTGCACCTAAAATTTGAAATAAAATTGTTATACACAGTTACTCAACGTGGAGTTTGCAGCTTCATATAATATCTTGATTAACAAGTTAAAAACAGAATTAACAGTTTGACCATTTTCAATAATTTAATTTCACTTTACAATGAAAATAATTTCCAGTGTTCACATAAGTATCTGCATAAATATACAAACACACCTTTAAAGGATTTTTAAAAAGATAAAAGGTTATAGAAGCAAAGGTATTCTAGAAAGTTATTTGTAACATATGCTTAGAAGTAATTCGTTTCCGAGATCAAACTATCAAGATCTAGGTGGCCACTGAGCCAGTTCACCACCTCCATTCTGCCTAGCTTTGTTCGTAAATTTGATTTAAGTACTCCCAAACCCGGTATGAGAAATGAGAAGGATCACCATCCTGCATGAACCACAAAGGAAACCTGACATTCAGTGGCATGTCTTCAAATTTTAGCGGTAACGCCTCCTTTAAAAAGTGTAGATATGTAGGATTGTTTAGGTTATAAAACAGATCCTACTAATCCTTAATTAGTATTTCACCTAGTTCAACATTAGTCATACTAAGATCCTATTAACCTCTCTCCCAGTGTCAATCCAAATATTTAAACAGAAACGTAGTTAATATGATTGTTATGAAAACTGAAATTTCCATCCCTTTGTAAATCCTGACTCATCCATGAAAAAGTTATATGTTATAGGACATAGGAGTGTCAACATGTGCTCTGAAATCTCATCTACCAAATGTTAATCTAACATCACACATAGTTTGTTGGATTAAGTATACATGGATTGAATGTGGTAGGGGTACGTTAGCTGTTTCCTAAAGGTTCTCCAAACAAGAAGGTGGCTAATATCTATATGAGGCGTAATGTTGGTTCCAAGGTTATTCCTCATACCTCTTCCTCATACCTCCTAAATCTGCTCTTCTACCTTGGATGTGGATGCAGATCTAGGTTCTCCACAGCAAAAATGGTTATTACTAAATTTTTCACTGTCCCAGAGCCGTAGTAATATGGAATAGTATAGTTTAAGCCATACTCGTTCTTTTAACTCATTGAAAAAAAAAACGGAATGGAAAGTTCCACAGTTGGATTAGAGAAAAAAAAAACATATTTTAATAACTAATACCGATAAACTACAACGAAAATCCAATACAACTGAAAGATATAGGTATTGAACAGTAAAACGTTTAAAAAAAGCTTATAAAATTTTACATCCTTAGTAATTTTGGATGAATATCCTTACCGTTAACCCGAGCGGCTCCCCGGGCTTTTTCCGAACCCCCACCATTCTTATTGCGTCGCCCGTCATGCCGTTGGGAAATAATTTCGGAGGCTCAGTCTTCTCCGGCTTGGGGTTTTCCGATATTTGAGCGATCTCGTCGTGGGAATCGATGAGAGCCTTGAAATGCGGACTAGCTAGTAGAGTGGCTAATTCTCTGGCGTCCCTATTCCAAGACCGGCTGCAACGAATCTGCAAATCCTTCAGGAGGCTCTTGCCTTCCGAGGACACTGGCTTGGGGAATACTGGAGGGTCTTCCAGACGATCTTGAACCTGCAATGAATTTTCAAATAGAAAGAAAGAAGAACTGTTGTAGTAAAATACTTAATCTACTCAAATCGAAATTTTCCTATACAGGGTGGTAAAAATAATAACAAATATTGAGCGCAGTGGTACAGAGACTTCATAAGTGTTTACAAACCACCTTACCGCCGAGCTTAGGCAATGCAACATTGCGTGACTGGTACTGGTAACAAAAATTCCCTAGCGTCACCAATATTAATGTTTCTTTTACAATGAACAATGACAAACCGTTATGTCTACGCTCGAGATAATGCGATCGCTAATAATTGGTTGAATAGAATCTCGTGGAAAATTACACCAATCACAGTCGGTGAATCAGAATGTTGTGTTCAAACGTTATCTTGATCTTATTGTTTCAATTTCACCAAAATTTTCCGAAGAAAATAAAATTATTGGTCACGTGGCTTGTAATCATTTATAAAGGCCCTGTACATTACCAAAATATAGAAAGTGTCCATGTGAACATATTATCAAAAATGCGTGTAAGCCCGCAGCTGTTAGCGAAACGAAATTTTTATGAAAATTTACCTTCATACTTAATTTTACTTTAAAACATATGCGTCGAAATTTTAAAATTAATGTTGAAGCTCAATGTTCAAGTATTTACCGCAAACTAAAAATATAAAGTTATAAACAATATTTATTTATATATGTTTTTTGTTTATGTCCATCAGCAAAACAGCAAATAATGTTACCGGGTAGAAAATATATTTTGCTTTAACTTAGCTTAATTAAATCGAACGTTCCTAAAAATATTTTGATAGCAATTACCAGCCACAGAAACGTAGATGTAGTTATTCTGCTTCTATTATTGATAGGAACAAACAAGTAGGTACTTTAATTGTGTTATCTCTTGAAAAAAAATCTAGTTTATTTTTCTTGAAGGAAATAAATGTGGCAGAAAAATTAAAATGGATTTTTTAAACGATCTAAGCACTTGCTTTATAAAAATTGTACGATATGTGTTACACTATAAACATATTAATACACAATAAATAATTTCCTTCAAGTATTGTATAAATTTTATTTTCTCAAACATGATTGGATTTTTCAAAATTGAACGAGTGGATCTTTTTTTTCTGTAACAGTCTATGGAACAACATTTTTCACGCTGTATACGTATGAGCTTCAGGTTCGTCTCATATAACATTTTAAATCATTAATTGGTAGGTACCTAGACTAGTATTCTATTAGTCGAAAATATTTTATTCAATTATCAATTGGCATCTGAAAAATATTAAAATTGATACTAAGTTTCACGTACGACCTTTTAAAACATACTGTATGGTATGAGTATATATCATCCTACCGAGAATACGTTGGTGGTTGTGGCCAATACCACAGCAAATGCTACTGAGCTTCAAATCCGGTAAGGTTTCTCTAAGAAATAAAATCGTAGGCATAATTGATGTACAGGTAGAACTACAATATCCGATTTTGTAATCTCTAATATATCTCTAACATATAAATATGCCAGGCCACTACATAAAGTTTCAACAAACTGATGATTTCACCAAAAATTTGAAACTCACAGAGGTAGTGCTAATCTTTTATTGAAAAAGTTCATTAATTTCTAAGAAATATTTTTTATTCTTGTTGTTCACCTTTGATAAAGGACAACACGTAAATATAGCCACGGTAGATAGATCTTCACTATTTCTGCATTTTATGGGTTATTGACCTCCTTGTAAATGGAATTAATAAATATTAATAGAATAAAACACAAAATTTGTAGAGAAACTGAAATTTAGAAACAAATTTGTTGAAAATATGATTAGATTAATCCTTTTTTACTAATACTAAATTTCATTGTCGTTTTAAAATTTCATTTCTATAGGTTTTATGATTTTTATATAATTTTGTTCTATCAATATTTATTAATTCAAATATGAATCCTTAATATTATAATACGCAGCCTACCTTTATATAGTTTAAACGTATAGAATTTGTCTCTTAAGTTAGTGTAAAAAGGGTGGCAGTATGAGATCTCAAAACAAGGGACGCATGGAAAAAGTAGGCGGGCGCAAAAATAGAAGGTTATTAAGAAAAAGGGAGAAGACAAGCGATTTTAAGTGCTGAAGGTCAACGCATTTTTCTCTTAAGATGCAGGTCGTCACATCCTCGTCAGACCGGACTGTCTAAAAGCCTGAGCTTCTGTAGATGTTTCCTAAAGTAACAGGGTCCCGTGATAAGTGTCATCACTTTGCTTCAGACTGTATTTTGCACTCCATCTATGTTTTAGTCCATCCTGCATCCGTCCCCCTGGCCATTTTGGAGCCATCTGTAACCAGGCTCCATTTTTCCAGGGTATCAAACTTTTCCTGCCATTTACTCTGTTCGTCTATTCGAGTCTCGATTGGCTTATGGAAGTGGAACCTTGAAATTATCTTGTCCGATACCATCCCCAGAGTAGGTTCCGACATAGATGTTTCCATAATCCATTATTATTCCTGACTAACAGTGGCAGATTTAGCATGGCTTCTACTGCAGTTGTCGAAGTCGATGACATCGCTCCCGTTATACCCAAACAGGCCATTATCTGGATTCTATTTAGTTTTTTCCTCGCTATGGTCTGTTATGGTTTTTGCCACCTTACCACAGCGACATACCCCATAAAATACCTAGGTCTTACTATTGATGTAATCATCCAATTCCAGTATGACATTTTTGGCTTCAATCCCCAGGTTCTACCTGTAAGGTGACGTATTCTTCACCTTACTTACCACTTTTTCCAAGTGTGCATTCCAGGTAAGCTTATCGTCCAGTACCAATCCTAGATATTTCCCTGGAAAACCTAATATACCTCTCCTTTATATAGGTTCAAAGAGCCCAGTCAAATCTCTTCTCCTGGTGAAGGGAACTATGACCGTCGTGTCTGACAGTGCTTGCCCCTTCCACCAATTATTTATCCATTTCAGAGCCTCTTTTATGAGCTCTGAAACAATGATGTTGTGTTTTACGACTATAAGAACGACTAATTCGTCCGCATAGCCTTGTGTATAAAATCCCTTCTGATTGAGACCCTCCAGTGCGCCGATTTCTACTAATCCCCATAACAAGGGAGACAGCACACCCCTCTGAGAGCAGCTCCGGCTTATTTTACACCAGATGTCTCTTCCAAATGGGTAGCTGTCACCGTTCGGTTCTTCAACACGATATCTATCCAGCAACACAAAGTGTCACAAAGGGCAACCTGCGACCTCCCTAATTAATAGATTCTAAGGGTGTATTATCAAACGCGCCTTCAATATCTAGAAACGCTACCAGAGTTATGTTTTTATCGTCCATCGCCTTCTATATTCTAGAGGCTAGGTTATGAAGGACTGTGTCGACTGATTTGGTAAGCAATAAGCCTACTGGTACTTGTATAGAGGATTTTTCCTCAGCACTCCGTCCCTTATATGCCTATTTATTATTCTCTCCAACGTTTTAAGGAGAAAAGTCATACCTCTTAGTCATTATCTCCATTAAAATTAAATACGTAATTTGTTAGTCATAAAATAAAGTGTGTAATTTAGACATGTTTATAATCGCGAGGATATAATTTTTCTCACTTAATAATGCATTGTCTATAATACACTTATTCCGGATCTGCGTCATTTGATACACGGGTAAATTTCTCGGAATTTTTCTACCTGACTTAATCCAACCCACACGTTGCGCAACGATCTTGACTCTGAAGTCGGGACAGGCACTACGGTGATTCACGTCAGGTAAAAAGGGGAGAAAAAGAGGAAGTCAGGTGTTAAGGGGTGCCTTTGTTTGCGGAATACACAATTAGGTACTATTATGACCTCTTGTCAGAAATCTATAGCAAATAGATAGCTTTGTCTGTGGTGACTGCACCTGCTGTTACGTTTACTGTTAATTTGGCACTCTTTCCAATAACGGGACTCCTGGCGAAACAATCGATTGCTCTGAGATACCATAAAAACGGAAGGCTTTACGTTACACCTCTCTGGGCACTATTTATTTGTCAGTCATCGAAAAAATAATTGGAACATAAAATATAGGTTTATAAAGCTTTACATATTTATTTACCTATAGAAATGTTGTGCCTATTGATGCAGCTTAACTTTCACCATAAGAGACGTGAATGGACTGTATCTTCTTGTTTATTATTATATTGGGGAAATTTTGCTCAATGTGAAGTCTTTTTATTTACGTTGTCAAGTACATCTCTTTTTTTTTCCTCAATTCAATTCAGAGTTATCTAATAAAAACACTGTACTGTTACTTAGATACCTCAACAATACCAATTTTTTATAGAACCACAACACCTATACCATTAATGTAAGATTTATAATCAGAAGGTAAGAATAATAATTATTTCTTATAAAGTTCTGTCATATTATTGTATTCTTTAACTATCATGAGATATTTCAAAATCTCAACACAATCAGTAAGTCGCAAAAAATTTTAAAGAAATAAATGGCTCGAAACACTAGACTAAATATATAAAATAGTTTAGAAACAACAAAAATTGACTGATAGTTTTCGAATTAAACAATAAAGGGGCATTTTTAACTAATGATGTTATGGGAAGCGGACTATATGTCCCAAACAGCACCAGACCCACCAGACATATACCGGTATACTGGGACTCGGACTTATTAGCGCTCTCTGTCTGGCAAATTTCATTTTATTTAATAGATAAATACAAATATATAACCTGCGGGATCATTTGTATATTTATTTTCAGTTGATACATAACGACATTTTTTACATGTTTAAGTCACAATTCATTTAATAGTTTTATTTAGTTTACGATATGTGGATGAATCATATTTTATGAATAAATCTCTCTATCTGTCCGTTTATTACTCTAACTCTGCTATTTTTCTGTTATTTATATTTATTAGAAATTTTATTAAGAGCACAACAAAATAGAACAAACTATTACATCAAGAAAAATATTCATAAAATTGTATTTTTTAAATTTTAGCTTTTAGACCATCAAAACGATACTG